ATACTGCAGCTAGTGCAATTAACATCCGAATTGATGTAATCCTAGTCACTGGCGAATATGTGCCAAAATAATCAAGACCTTCTTTTTGTCTAAAACCTTTGACAACAAGTCTTGCTTTATATTTGTCAATAGTTCCATCGTCTTTCATCTTCCTTTTAAAGATCCATTTTGAACCCAACGGTTTGTTCTCTGGAGGAAGATCAACCAACTCCCAAGTATGATTGCTTAAGATTGATTCAATTTCACTATTAACAGCCTCCTTCCAAGAGGTTGAGTCGCTAGACAACATTGCTTCCTTGAATGTTTGAGGCTCACTTTCAAGTAGAAATGTTACAAAATCTGATCCAAATGAAGTAGATGTCTTTTGACGTTTATTGCGTCTTGGACTTTCTTCATTTTGTTCATTCTCTTTTGGTTCTTCTCTAGGTTGTTTAGATCCCCCACTAGATGACTCAAGTCTAGTTTTATACGGATAGATATGTTCAAAAAATTCAGCACAATCTGATTTCATTACCGTATTATCATGAATATCCGGATGTTCGGACTTATGAACCAAAAAACGACATGCCTTACTGTTTGTGGCATATCCAATGAATACACAATCCACAGTCTTAGATCCTATTTTTACCCTCTTAGGTATAGGAACTTTGACTTTGGCTAGACACCCCCACACTTTGAAATATTTCAAATTGGGTTTTCTACCTTTCCATTTTTCATATGGAATTACATTTGTCTTTGAGTGAGGCACTCTATTAAGTATCTGATTTGCTGTAAGGATAGCTTCCCCCCACAAGTTCTGTGGTAAACCTGAACATATAAGTAATGCATTCATCATTTCTTTTAAAGTTCGATTTTTTCTTTCTGCAATTCCATTAGACTGAGGAGTGTAGGGAGCAGTAGTTTGATGGATTATTCCATTTTCTAAACATATTTTTTGCAAATGGAGATTCATATTCTCCACCTCTATCACTTCTGATCATTTTGATATTTTTATCTAACTGATTTTCAACTTCAGTTTTATATTGCCTAAATGCATCTATTGCTTCATCCTTACTATTTAGCAAATAGACATAACAATATCTAGTGCAATCATCAATAAATGTTATGAAATATTTTTTCCCACCACGTGATGGTGTTGACTTCATGTCACAAATATCAGTGTGAATCAATTCTAAAGGATTTGAATTCCTTTCAACAGATTTATAAGAATGCTTAGCATACTTAGATTCAACACAAATTTGATATTTTGATTTATTGCACTCAAATTTTGACAAAATATTTAAATTAATCAGTTTTCGCAAGGTTTTGTTTTTAACGTGTCCCAAACGTTCATGCCATAAATATTTAGACTCAAGCAAGTAAAAAGAAGCAAAATCTTTATTCATATCAACTGCAATTACATTGAGTTTGAAAAGGTCATCACTAAGGTAGCCTTTTCCTACATACATATCATTTTTGCTTACTACTACTTTATCAGAAACAAATACACATTTAAATCCATTCTTGGTCAGAACTGGAATTGAAACTAAATTCTTTCTCAATTCTGGTACATATGAGACCTTATTCAAAGTCACCACCTTGCCTGATGTCATCTTTAATAGGACTTTGCCAGTTCCTTCCACCTTTGCAACAGCGGAGTTTGTCATAAACAATTTTTCATCTGTAAGTGCTGGAGTATATGATGAAAATAATTCTTTGTTGGCACAAACATGGCATGAGGCACCAAAATCTATCCACCATTCTCTTGGATTTCCAACCAAGTTACATTCTGAAAGCATTGCACAAAGATCGTCTATTTCTCCTTTGGATTCAGCCAAGTTTGCTTGATCCTTTTTTTTTCTTGTCCTTCTTAGGACCCCGACATTCATTAGCCCTATGACCATGTTTACCACAATTAAAGCAGTTTCCATTGAATTTCTTCTTAGGAGGATTGCTTTTTGGACCAGATGCTTTCTTTCTTTTCTTTAATTTTGTGGAATCTTCTTCAACAAAATTTACTCCAGATATTGCTGAATTACCACGTGACCTCTTTTCTGCAGCCTTATTATCCTCTTCGATTCTCAACCTTACTATGAGATCTTCAACAGTCATCTCCTTGCGTTTGTGTTTCAAGTAGTTTTTAAAGTCCTTCCACAATGGAGGTAACTTTTCAATAATTGCTGCCACTTGAAAAGCATCATTCACAATCAATCCTACATTAAAGGTTATATGAGTATTAAGAGAAAACTTAATATTTCTAACATAGGCATTAAATAAATTTATACCTTCAGCAAGGAGATCATGGATTATGACCTGCAATTCTTGAACTTGGGTGACGACAGTCTTACTGTCTATCTTCTTAAAGTCCAGAAATTTTGCCACAATGAATTTCTTCATTCCGGCATCTTCTGTTTTGTACTTCTTTTCTAAAGCATCCCAGAGTTCTTTTGAGGTTTTTGCATTGCTGTACAGATCATCTTGCAGACCACTCAAAATATAATTTTTACACAAAAAATCCGAGTGTGTCCATGCTTCTGTTACCAAGAATCGTTCATCAGCCGGAGTTTCATCTGACATAACAGGAACATTCTCATTGATGAACTTCTGCAGACTCAACGTAGTGAGATAGAAGAACATCTTTTGCTGCCATCTCTTAAAGTCGACTCCAGAAAACTTTGCAGGTTTCTCAGCCGGTGCTAAGGCAACATTTGAACGATTATGTGCAACCGTTGTTGTTGCAGCACTTACTGTTCCAGCATTTGTTTTGACTTGAATTAGTCATTTTTTTCTGTCATAAATGACAGATAAATTAAGTATTTAAAATACTAACAGTAAAGAACAAATCTTTACACAAACTGTTTCTGATTTAACGATAAAGTTTTTATGTTCTTTTAATCGTTAATCGAATGAATTTTAAAAATTCAAGCAGAGTAGAAAACCATAAAGGTTTTAATCTCCAGAAACCTCAAATACAGAAACTGTTAAATTTCTTAAGATTGTTATTCTTACAATAACTTGTATTTATAAAGTTTATAAACAGAAACAGAAACAGAAATAAGATGAAGCAGAAAATAATATAGAATACAAGAATTAATCCGAGTCCACAGAAACTACTGTGTGTCCTTAAGAAATTTAATCCCCTCACTGTACCCAAGGTTATGGATTAATTTATCCCAAGATAAAACGGATTAAACCTGTTAAAGAAATAGCGATACCTCAAACTTTTTTAACTTCAACGAACTTAAGAACAGCAACAAGTCACACAGACTCAGTCGATCGACACTTTGATTTTATTTGAGAAAAAAAATAAATGCAGAGAAAGAAAAATTTTCAGTGATTAAAAAATCAAAAATTGACTTCCTTTTATAGCCATTTTCAGCAAGGAACATGTCTGTTCAGTGAAATCTGTTCAGACCCATTTTATCCAGAAAGTTGTGTCTTTTGGAAAAAATAACAACTTTTTGAAAAATTGTGTCTGTTAGGAAAATAACTACTTTTTGGAAAGTAACGACTTTTCGAAAAGTAACGACTTTTCGGAAAGAGTAACAACTTTTCGGAATGTTACCGTTACCTGCAAATTTATAAGAAATGACTTTTCATTTGTACTTTGCAAATGACTTTTCATTTTCCCTCCAAAGTAGTTCCCTCACTTTTCATATTCTCTCTTTTCTTTTCCCATTCACACTTGCTAAAACCCAACAGTTGATATGTCATGTTATTAAATTATCATTTCAAAAAATAATAAACCTATTTAATCATCAAACTTATGTTTTTACAAAACAAATATATGAATTATATGAGAATTATGAAGATTATAAAAAAATATTAAAAAAACTAATTCCTTTATATTTATTTACCAAATAAAATTCAATGAAAAAAACTTTGTGTGCAATTATTACTGGGTAATTTTCAAAAATTTGTTAGTAAATTATTTGAAAAGTTTAAGCAATTTTTAAAATAAAAGTATTCAAATAAATTCTAAGGTTGCCAAAAAAGTTGGTAAGAAAGAGAAAATTATTCTTTAACTTTTTTTTTTTAAATTTATTTTTTGTTCTTTAACTTTGAAAAATTATGTTAACTTCGAAAAATTATGTATATAGAATATTTATATACATCTTGAGATAGGTATATATTTTACTATACATCCAAAAATACAAAAGTTAGCGAAGTTAGCTAGTTTAGATGATGAACTTCTTTGAGGGATCGAATTCCCATTTGCTTATTTATTTATTTTTGCTTTATTTTTTTCTGCTTTTAGCTATGAAGTTTAAAAATATCGAATAAAATAGGAGGATGATAGTTTTGAACTTGTGATCTGATAATGCAAATTAAAATTTAAAATCACCACTTCACCTAAGACACTTTATCTATTGGTATCATCTAATTTATTTATTGAGGAATATCGTAGTTTTGTATTTCATATAAATCAATATTGGGTACATACTTTAACTAAGCGCATTATTGTTGGTGGTGCACCCGTCGTCTGCAAATCTTGAGTTCGCCTATACTTTTATTGCTATATTATATTTTATTTTAACTTATCATACAATTAACCACAAATATATATATTCTTATCTCATCCCAAATTCATGAAATACAAGTAATAATTCATTGAATTGCCTATTTCAATTCAATAATATACATATTATATGAGATTAATATATTGATAAATAAAGATCAAAATTTTATTTCTAATATAAATATTATCCACTTTATATTTTCTTTTAAAAAATATAGTAAGTATGGATTTAAAGTATCCAATTAATTATTTTTTAGTAGTTAATTGACATTTAATATTGTTAATTCACTATAAAATTTATGAAATTAATGTAAGTTAGAATTCGTGAATGATTTGCATATTGATAATTTATTTACGGTATATATTTATAAGTATTTAAAATTGATGACATTATAGTACGTTTTAAAATCTATTCTTCGTAACATCGAAAAATAAAATTTTTATCTCTCTCTTATTTTTTTCAACCTAATATGCATATGTTCAATTTTTTTTATACTGTGTGTTACTATGTCCAATTTCCCACTCTCTCGTTCATCAGTGGTACAAATCTCAAATTTATTTGGGTAAGTTTTTCAATTTTTCAGTGCTTTGTCTCCAAAGGATGTACAGAAAGCTAAAATGTTTCACTTTTTCCTCGCTATAATGTTTTATCTGATTACTTCCTTCTTGATGGTCTCTTGGCTCTTTGTGATTCTGCCATTAAAAGTAAGCACAATTTTAAATGTTTCTACTCTTTTGATACAATTTCTAGCTAAGATTTCTACATGTACATTACTAACGGCTTGATTTGCACATGCATTATGTTTCTTTAATGAACTTAATTTTTATAGCCATTAATTAGTGCAAAAGTTAGATCGTCCTATATAAATCTAAGATATCAAGTGGATTGTGCATATAAGTTGTTTGATAATATGCCACAATTAACTTATTTAATGTTTTCGGTTGCCATTTTTCTTTTGGGAATGCAACATGATTTTCCTGCTATAAAGAATGTGTAAGGGATTTTTTAGTTAAAGAAACTGTTCTTAATAGAACTTTGTTTGTGTAATCTGTTTGTGTGATAATGTATGCAGATATGCTTGGGAGTGCACATTTATAAAGTATGAAGAAGAGACAATATCAATGCTACTTTGGTTGTTCTATAGGCAACAATAACTAAATATTATTTATACATATTCTAAGCATGGGATGTCCATAGACATCAAACATCCTTCAAAGAATCATATCGGATGATGCATATGTTAGCCAATGTTCTCACGCTCGTAAGTATTTACTTTCAAATGATTTTGTTTGCCGCTCTGTCATACATTCTTTTAGCTAGCATGTTATAACAAGTTAACAACTATTTATATAATAATTATATGTTAGATACTGTGTTAAAATATAATAATCAAGTAGCAAAAGAAGTTGATACCGAAAATTATTTAGAGCTTAGAGTATTCGGAAACAAATGGCCAGATCAGGGATAACAAAACTGATAACAAAACTATTAAGAACTAATTGCATAAAGTCATGATTAGTATATTTTTATAGCTCAAGACAATAGTAAAATTAATACATAAAATAATTTTAGAAAAATATTTCAGATTTACCACCTACCTATTTGTCATTACATAGGTAAGGAACAACGAGTGTGCTCCAACGGGCTCTACCAACTTAGTATATTTCACTTTTTTTTTCGAAAGCTTTCTACTAATTGTTTTTTTTATGATAGTGTTATTCTTCTTAGTAAATAGAAATGATATACCATATAAGCTTTGAAGTTTCAAATATTTTCCTTAATGCCTACTAATAGATGGAGACCAAAATATTTATTAAAAATCATTTTTATGTCAAGATTTTTCTTCAGTAAGACACTGTTACTCCTTGACTGAATAATTTACTTTTGGATACAATATTATGTGAAAATGTAGTTGAAACAAAAAAATTTGCACGAAATTTGACTGAATTAGATTTTTTGAGGTCGAATTGTGATGCCTCTATCATCATAAGCAGCGTGCTAAATTGATTTTTTTAACATTTAATTGAGTTCATATATGAGTGTTTAATTTGGTATTATACAAGTATAAAAAAAAATTGGTTGCTAAAACTTTTTGGATTGGAATATTTATATTTAGAGATGTCTTCTCTTCCGCTCCTATAGTTTACTGAACATGGGTGAGCTTTAAATGGAAAGATCTAATACTTTTAACATGTATACTTATTGTTGGTGGGACAGCTGCCGCATACGTGCAGTCACAGATAAGGGACATAATTCTACACAATGCAGTGGAGTGAATGGTTCTCTAGTAACATAGAGTTGAGTGAGATTCTTTACTCAGAGAATATATTTCATGCCTAACTTAAAAGCATATATGTTGCTATTCAACCTCTTCCAGGATCTAATAATTTTGGAGTATGTAAAATGTGTAGAAAATGTATATTGTAGTTTTTAGTGGAGAAAAAAGACATAGCATTGAGACTTGTCAAAAAGAAAAAAATAAGAAAAAGCTTGAACACTTCAAAGATCTCAATAGTTAATAGCATATGCATATACTATCGCTGATTTTAGTATTTTTGCTTTGTAGGTTTGGCTTAGAGCCTCTACTTTCTTACTATCTTGTTATTGCTATTGTCTTCTTAAATGCTGTGTTTTTGTTTTCTTTGAGTTGAGGGTCTTTTGAAGACAACCTCTCTATCTTAGAAGATAGCGGTCAGGTTTGCGCACATTTTACCCTCCTCAAACTCCACTTGTGGACTATACTAAATATGGTATTGTTGTATTAGGTAACTGAGGTGTATGTGGTCATGAAAATGCAACAATAAAGCACCTAGATGATGAAGTGTCGAGGTCTTACAAAATAAATCATTTAGTGATGATAAATTTGAATAGGGTCAATAAGATCAGTGATTACTTATGTAGTTAAGGATTTTATCAAATAAGAAGTTGAAGTTCATTGGGCATGGTGATTTTGGCATAAATTGATTAACTTGTTATTATGGGGGTGGGGGGAATATAATAATAAAATTCAATTTTATGAGGTAAATAGTAGTTACAGCGCAAGGAATTTATAACCTAGGCATATCTTTGTTTGATTAAATTTAACTTATGAAGAGAACTTTTTGAGCAGCTCTTTTTGTATTTCGGAAGCCTATAGTATGAGATTCGATTTTTTCATCATTCAGCGAAGTATCTTGGTTAACAATATTTCCACCAAGTTGATGCCCTTATTATGTAAGAGAAAGACTGAAACACATATTTTATATATAGATCGACTTATCTTTTAATCTACTTGCAATTAATGTTCTTTTCTTGTTTACAATCCCAGTCTTTCCTCTGTTTTCAAACTTTACTGGTTTCTGTCGGAAATGTATCATCATTCAATGTCTCTACTAAAATGTACAGTATTAAAATTTTTGATTGACTTTCTAAAGTTCTTTATGAGCATTGGCCCCATCCACCAAGTAATCATGGATACTTTGAGCGTGTAAGTTAAATGAAATTGATTGTTGAGTTAAAATGCGAGTTCAGTAAAATTATGCTACAATTTCTCCTCTCACAATTTTCATCTTTCTTCATCTGATGTATTGCCTTTGATCTATCTTCGACAGAAGAGACAAAGTACGAAACACGTCTAATAATTTTTCTACGATGGTTAGTCGTAAAATTACTTTTGATGGTATAGCAAATGATTACAGCTGAAAGAAGTAGTGTAAACCATTGTAGAATTTAATTGGGTTGTTCTCTGATCTGTGACTTTTATATTGCATGTACAAATTTTGGAGAGCGTATAAGCTTTCTGGAAAAAGAAGTGGGAAGTGAACCGAGGAGCTCTGAAGGACAATAGAAAATTTATGTGAACTGTCATATATGAGTTATGACTTCTACTTGCTTCAATCATGCCGGATATTTTCTTTTTACATTTTTTATGTACTACTTTAATTTTTTTCTACTCTTTATTGATATTTTTCATTGCTCAATGACTATAAAATATTGGGCCCGTACTAGCATGGGCCTTGCCCATCTAGTAATTACAATAAAAGATTCTTTTATATATATAAAAAATAATATGATCATTATTTTAGTTAAATGAGGTTAAGAAATCAGATTAATCGATTATTAAAAACAAGACTTTAATGACATGTCATGCCAACTAAGAGAGAGTTAGATTTATGAAGTGTCAAAGTATATTTGAGGAAAATATGGATAATTGATTGATATTTTGATCCTAAAATGAAACATAAATGATATTTCAAAATAATTCTCTAAACTTGGGTGACCGTTTACGAAATTAACTTTATTTTGACTGTTCTATATAAAGTGTTTGTTATTTTCTGTCATTACAATTATATATCGATTAACTTTATTCATTATTTATGTCTCTATTGAAATTTGAACTAGAGTCTTGTATTCTCTATTGATCATAATTATGCCTCCAGCATTTTTTATTTTGTGAAAAAAATTGGACTCCTACATATAAATATCGGCTAATTTGTAGACATTTTAATTATTTTAAGCGATGATTTAAATATTTTACTTTTAATTATGAATTAAAATGTTTGAATTATTTGGATCCACGTGTCATGTGTCGTTATTTCATAATTGTCAAACTTTTGTCTAATAAGTATACAATTTTTAAAGTTAGGAGTGTTTGGTTGAAACCACCATCAATTAGGGCGTGTTTGGTACGAAGGATAATGTTTTTTATATGGAAAATATTCTTTTAGAAAATATATATATTTTTTTGAAAAGTAAGTAGATTTTTTGCTTATTTTTTTATGTTTAGTTGATAAATGTAAAATATATTTAAGAAAATATCTTTTATTTTTGGCTTGATGCAAAAAAATAATCTTTAAAAATATAATTTCTGATGCGAAAATCAACCTCGGTAATTGATTTCAGCTCTGATGCCGACACCAAAAAATTAGTACCAAACCCCAATGACTCTTCCAAAATTCAACCTTGAGATTACACCCAGAATCTAAACCAAGATTTATTTTTTCACCGTCTAAAATTTTGTAAGTTATTGAAAAAGTAAGACAATCCCACACTATTTTGTTTGTAAAATTAAAAAATGTACGAACAAACATTAAATTCGAGTCTAATATTTTACGATAAATTAATAAAAGTAAATTTGCTCAAATTTTAAAAATAAGAGAAAATTCTAAATGACAATTTTGTAAAAATAAGGATATTTCCGTAAATCAGCCTATACAATTTTATTTCTTAAAAGGGCCGAAACCGGCTTTAAAGGCCTTATTTAAAAAGCCCATTTTCTTGTTATTGGGCCAATTTTCGTAACGTCAACAAAATTTTGGATAGGCCCATCTAAAAATGATTTAATGAAAAATAATTTCGTCGTATATTTTAGTAATCAAATACTCATACTTCGTAAATTATAAATATTTTTAGCACAATATTTAGTTTTACAAAGACCATGAGGTACAAATATTTTTTTGATTTTGTTTTATTCGCGCCTTCGATTAGAAAAGAGGATAGATATTTACGTTTTTGTATTTTTTAAAATTATATTAATTTGTTACAATATTCTAATTCGCTTTTGTATTGTCCACCTTCAAATTAACTTGAGTTTATTTAGTTCAAAAACATTCATATGTGTAGTTTCTCTTTATATAAGAGGTATAAATACTTTATATAACAATCATTGTACTTATGTAGGATTTTTATGTGTTTTGTTTTAAAAAAAATATATAGTATGAAATTTAGTTATTTTAATTGTACAAGAAAAAGAATATTATTAACATACACACGATGTTTACGATGTTTGGATCAAGTAAATAAATATAAAAACTAAAAAATATACCTTTGCACTATAATTGAATGATTTTTTTTTCCACTTTTCTTAACCTTAAATAATTGAATATTTCTATTTTATATAAATATCGAATACAAATAAATATTTTTTTAACAAATTTTTATGACTAGTTAATGGAATTTAAAGATGGTTGTCTTTTTCTTTTAAGTGCTCTAGTCAAAAGAATGTCTAGCCCAAGTTCAAAGGCCCCCTTTTCTTTTAATTATATTCAAAAGTTTCAACCTCTTATATATATATATATATTTATTTTTAAAAAATAGACTTATAGAGACACATTATTGTATACTTATATTATTAGAGTTGAGCTAGAAATATTTTTTATAAGATGGAAATCTAGAATTTAATTTAAGTTTTAACGGACATAATTTTATAAAAGTCGTTAACAAGGTGAAGTCGTCAAAGCGTGTCGAAAGATTACTACTATGCATTCTTACTCATATAGTTGAGTGTTGGATAGGGTAAGGTATAACAGGACTCAAACCCTCGACCATTAGGTAAAAAGCTCAATTCTCTATCAAATGAGTTATACATGCACCTAAAAAAAGATATAAATAAGAATTGATATGGAAAAGAGGCCGACCCCTATTATTATTATTATTATAAAGAAATAGCATATTAGAATACAAAATTTAATATTTTTAGGTTTTCGTAGAAATAACAATCAATTGACTTTTGAGAAAAAAAGGAGTGATCTTAATAGATTTCTAACCACTAATATGAATAGTACGATTGTCTCTCTTCAATACTTGGCCTACTTGTGGGTTTCCAAGCTTCTTGCTTCAACATAACTCATCGACCAACGAGGGTTGTGATAGAGTGGTAAGTACTATTTCATCTTTAACCGAGAGATCTCGAGTTCAACTCTCCTTGGGTGCAGAGTCAGAGTCGACTTTGTTAGAGAGCGCTTTGCCCCCAATGTGGGACTTTCCAACGCGAATCAAATTTAGTCGGACTCTAATATGAATATCGAACATCAGATCGAAAATCAAAAAAATAAATAAATAGATGTTCAACCAAAACCTCAAGAAATTAATGATAAGGGGTATTTATATATTGAACTATATAGTGGGGAAAAATATATGAGGTTATGAATCAATTAAGTAGGTCAATTAATTCATATAAAACATGTTAGTAAACTCCAAATAGTTATTATATAATATGGTCCATCCAAAATAAATCCATGTGACCTATGTTTACTACTTTACACAAGGGTGTGTGTATATATATATATATATATATATATAAGTACTCTATTATCATAT